ACTTTCTCAGTTGTCTCCAGGGCCAGCTGCTCAGAGCCCCAAAAAACCTCCCACCAAGGACCCCCTTGCAGAACTCAACATCAAGGACTTCTTATAATTTCCCAGGTATCATTATCTTTCTAGTGGCTACTTAAATGAGGCACTAAATCACAAAGAACCGTGACATTTTCTCCGTGCTCTGTTTGCAGTATTTGTTTTCTCAAAGACTGAGCTCCAGTGCGAGAAGTCTGCTGTCTGTTTGCACCCCCAGACACCTGAGGAGCTGCAGCTAGATATCCACTGACCCCGCCCCAAACCCCGCCCACACTGCCCCACCCAGCCTTCCTGTGTCATGTTGTAGCACAAACCGAGAAGTGAATCATAGAGAAAACAAGCCGAAAAATGAAGAAGTGCATATTTCAATGTTATCCTTTGTTTTGAATGAAACGGAATAAAATTAAGAAAAACACACAAATGAAAATGAAGGATTAAAAAAGATGTGTATGTATGTCTTTTCCAGTGTTTACGTCTGAAATGAATGATGTGTGTATGTTGATCCCCTCAACTTCTGGTTCCTCTAGGACTTCCCTTTTGGGGTCAGAGGTCCTAAACAGGTTGTGGAAGCACTTTCTGTTGTATGTTAGTTTTGGAACAGTGTGCAATGTATCATTCGCAGAAAGTACTCTATGTATTTTATCCTCATTGACCAAAAAAGGTCTCTCCTCTGCTCAAATTTTTATCTGTGGACGACTTATTGATGTGAACCTGGTACTCGGATTATAAGACATGCTGTTGTCATCTCCCATCATTGATTGACATGTTTGTTTACAAATAATAAATATATTAAATCTAAATATGTATGAATTATGTATAAATGAATAACATATCCAGGCTCCTCTATCCTAGATAACCCTCTTGGTGATTACATGTAATTTTTGTATTTTAACTGGTATTTATTTTTCAGATATATACGTATTTTTTGATTCTTTGGTTTGAATTTAATTGAATTGTCAGTTCACGGTTTAAATACTCTCTTTGGACTTCCCCAAGAAAATAACCTCAGCAAATTTTGACTTTAATTCACTTAATCTCAGACGATCTCTAAGAAAGGCCTTTTGCAGTATCTTAAAATAACAAATGTACAGCGACTTGTTAAACTGGTGATGTTTCCCAAAAAAGCCCCCAAGATTTCACAGTTGTAGTCAGTGGAATGCTGTGTTTGAGTGTCATAGTTACTTGTGCTTGTATGAAATCCAAATTGAAGCTGGTACATGTAGTGTTTTTTTTTGTATAATTGTAGAAGTACCCATCCATATGTTTGGTTCTCAGTCTTTCCTGCTCATACTATATTATGAACCCTGACCCTTGTTTGTTACATGTAACGGTTGATTCATGCTCCCTCTATTGGTGAGTGGTGGTACTGTAGATTGCACAGCAAAATAGAGTGTGGAGGAGATAAATTGGATGAAAATACCTGATTTCATAGAAACTAGAGCGTAGGTTCATTAGCAGAGATAAACTCTTAGATCTGTTAGAAGTTTTCAGGAGGTCACTGCTAAACAGTGTTACAGAAAGGTCTGATTGACAGCCCTGTATGCCCGAGTCTCTGTAACTCACTCTCCCTGTTAGATCTCTTGTGGAAATGACAAAGGCAGATCTTTGGACATCTCTTTTGTAATTCTCTTCAAATATTTTTTATTTTGATTTATTGATTCATATTTGACACCCCTACATAGTGCATGTAAGCCCTTTGAGATGCAATAAACACTGATGGGAAGAAATGCCCACCTATGTCCCCCTGTGTCTGTTTTCACAAGGATGGCTCTGTATCAACACATGATAATTAAAAAAAGACTAACGTTATTCAGTCATTTTTAAGCTGCGAAGTTTAAGGTATATGTCTTTGGTTTAAAAAAAACCTATTCTTATATATTTTCAATATAATTATTTATATATATATATATATATATATATATGCTTTTTAATCTTTAAAATATCTTAATAACAGAGAAATAAAGAATCGAGTGAAAATTTAAAGCAAATTGGAAAAACAATATAAGTTTGATAAAAACATTTTTTTAACACTATTCTGTCCTCTTAGACTGTTTATTTGGTCCTCGATAACAAACATTTAGAAAAAGTTGTACAAATTGAAAAAGTATGCAATCTGTATTTGAAAACATCAATTTTATATTAAAATGTTCAATTTATATTTCCTATCAAGCTATATTGCTTTTCTCTTGATCATAATTACAATGATATGTATCATTGAGCATATCTAAATTTAAATAACCCTGTGTATTTTTTTTAAATTTTTTTTTTCGACATAATCATATGAAACTCATAATAGGAGTCTTACATTAAATACATACTTACAGTTCTACAGTAGACTGTTACTCCGACAGGTCATCCTGATGTTTTATATTTTAAAATTAAATTAGCACCAAAAGTCAACAAGGGCATCTGACTCTGAAGGTTAAACCTCCAACTAATTGCCTTCACTGTAATACAAAAAGCAGAACAATTGTAAATGGAAGCCCATGAAGACAGGTTACAATTTATGCTATCAAAGTCACACAATCATAACATTTAATAATAATGATAACAAGAACAAAGGGTTTCAAAGAACACCAGCATATTGATAGTCAAATGTGTTCTTCAAGATGAAAAAAGGGAAGTAAAATCCACAAATAAACCACAAATAAACAAAGTTTTTTTCTCAGAAAAAAAAGTTTTTTTTTTTCCTTGTGTCAACTAGTCATCTAGCTTTCTACTTCAAGATATCCAGACAGATTACCAGACAAAACAAATGCCTCCCATATCAAACAACACTGACTGAAGTACATTTTCTAATTCAAAACGACAGTTTAGGACAGAATTAATTCTCATTAGGACAACTTAATCTAGATATACATTCGCTCTAACTGATTCATAACAAAAATGGTCTAATAAAATAAATTAAGGTATCAAAATAGCTTGAAAAAATTCAATGGTAGGTGTGTTATAGTCTTTAGTGTTGATGAATGCAGCAGTTTGTGTAGTGCACAAATGGGAGGCACAAGGGTTGCTGAGAGCCGGGACAGTGGCAGTCAGACGGGCTGATGGAGTCTCTCAAGTGCCCAGACACTGGCTGGAGTCCCCATGGACCCAGAGGCAGATTTGTGCGTACTTGGGGGGTGTGATTCGCACGGCCACGTTGTAATCCTGCTGCATCCCATTAACATCCACCCACTGGTGACCAGAGAACACTCCAATGATCTTTCGCTTCCACTTCTTCTTGCCAGGCTCTTTGAGACGAATGTAGACACCCGAGCCACTGGAGCCAGGCTTTGCATCGCAATACTGGTACAGCAGGTCATTGGACTCCTCGGACACGGAGCAGAAGCGGTACACCAGGTTGCCTGGCCGGTCGTCGTCGAATCCCGAGAAATGGACACGTCCTGCAGGCAGCTTCTTGACGGAGGGGACGACACCGAGATCCATGTATTTGGTCTTCTGCGCCCTTTTAAGCTCCAGGATGGCGTAGTCATAATCAGCCACAACGTTCTCCGAGATCCCTTTAAACCAGCCCTTCGGCACCTGCATCTGTTTCACCCGGGTCCATCGGAACGAGGGCTGCTCGGAGGTGGTGCTGCGGCGACTACGGTTTCTCCTGCCTTTGCCTTTTCTCTCACGCTCCTGCTTCTCTCCAATCTCTATATTTTCATTGATTTCCTCCTCCTCCTCTTCTTCTTTATGCTTCCTCTTGCCTTTCCCCTTCCGTCCTTTCCCTTTCCGTCCCTTCCCTTTTTGGCGGGAACGTTCTTTCAGCACACCAACGCTGAGTTTCTGTACCCCATCCAGGTAGTCCGTACCATTGTGGATGCAATGAGCAGCAGTCAGGACGTGTTTGGGGGACACCAACACTCCAGAACAACCCGTGGAGATCTTCACAGACGTGGAGAATGGATACTTCAAGGAGTACTGCTTGTCAGCGATGGTAAACCGTGTGTCCATGCCATAGACTTCTCGTCTGCGTCGAGAACGTAACCCAAAACCTTCCGTCCAATCAACACTAACGTTTAGCTCCTGTATGGTGACGGTGGTTAGCGTGCGGGTTCCATTTTCATACATTGTCTCGTAGGACAGTAGCTGCTCCAGATCGTCCAGGCTGGGCTCTGGGAGACCCCGCTGGCACTCAATGCCACATATTCCATGGAGCTCAGTCTGCGGCTTAGCCAAAAACTCAGAACTGCCCAGATGCACTGTTTGCTTTTCTTGTACCAGTGGTACTTTCCTCTGCGGCCAGGTGTCATCGTCACCTATGGGATCGTCCACTGCTGCAGACACCAGCACAGCCAGTGCTGAGATGCAAAGCAGGAGCGTTAAGGGTACCGGGCCCATTGCAGAGAGCCCCCTAAATTTAAGCTCCAGGATGGCGTAGTCATAATCAGCCACAACGTTCTCCGAGATCCCTTTAAACCAGCCCTTCGGCACCTGCATCTGTTTCACCCGGGTCCATCGGAACGAGGGCTGCTCGGAGGTGGTGCTGCGGCGACTACGGTTTCTCCTGCCTTTGCCTTTTCTCTCACGCTCCTGCTTCTCTCCAATCTCTATATTTTCATTGATTTCCTCCTCCTCCTCTTCTTCTTCTTTATGCTTCCTCTTGCCTTTCCCCTTCCGTCCTTTCCCTTTCCGTCCCTTCCCTTTTTGGCGGGAACGTTCTTTCAGCACACCAACGCTGAGTTTCTGTACCCCATCCAGGTAGTCCGTACCATTGTGGATGCAATGAGCAGCAGTCAGGACGTGTTTGGGGGACACCAACACTCCAGAACAACCCGTGGAGATCTTCACAGACGTGGAGAATGGATACTTCAAGGAGTACTGCTTGTCAGCGATGGTAAACCGTGTGTCCATGCCATAGACTTCTCGTCTGCGTCGAGAACGTAACCCAAAACCTTCCGTCCAATCAACACTAACGTTTAGCTCCTGTATGGTGACGGTGGTTAGCGTGCGGGTTCCATTTTCATACATTGTCTCGTAGGACAGTAACTGCTCCAGATCGTCCAGGCTGGGCTCTGGGAGACCCCGCTGGCACTCAATGCCACATATTCCATGGAGCTCAGTCTGCGGCTTAGCCAAAAACTCAGAACTGCCCAGATGCACTGTTTGCTTTTCTTGTACCAGTGGTACTTTCCTCTGCGGCCAGGTGTAGTCATCGTCACCTGTGGGATCGTCCACTGCTGCAGACACCAGCACAGCCAGTGCTGAGATGCAAAGCAGGAGCGTTAAGGGTACCGGGCCCATTGCAGAGAGCCCCCTAAAACAGACAGAAAGAGAAAAAGAGAATCAACATCACTTAAAATATAGTTATGTAACACATATTTACAGAGCATAGATGTCAATGTAGCATAAATGAAAGAGCATAAATGTCAATAGGCTACTTGTGAACATTTTAATTTCTTCAGTACAAACAAATGAAGTGGGAGGGAATTTATTGTCTTTTGATACAACATTTTCACCTTTGCTTGCTGAGAGCACAGGACAGTCATAACCAGAGGAATGTTGGACTGTTGTTAAATTAATTAGTTGTATCAGTCAATATATGCATATTATTTACCCTATTTTTACATTTAGATAAACTTTCCAGTCAATCCCAAAGTATACTTAACTTTTTATGCATACATAGGGTATGCGTACAGTTGTGTGCATGCAGTTGAATTCGATTTTTCCAACCTCCCGCTAAGCATGCGCCTCCATTTTATTGTTTGTTTGTTTGTTTGCACTAATAAGTTGTAGTAGTCACTGCATTTTGCCCTGAATGTAAATAACATGCATGCAGTATATCTCTTTCAGACATTCCTACAAATTAGTGGATCTCATTCCTGGTCCCAGCACTGCACATTATGGATGTCTCGATTATATAGTACATATTATTTATTTAATAAACTCTTTAATAGAGAATCCAATACCTGAAATCTGTGTCAGATAAGGCAGACATCCAAAAATAACATTAAGCCTGCCTGCAGAAGAAGCAGGACTGGCAGTATTGAAATTGGGACCAGAGGATTATATTACTACAGTCATGACCACTAGGGGGAGACAAATAATAAGGCTTTGGAGCACTATTTCAAGACCCCTGAGAATATGTGAGTGTATATATACTGTATATTTCTCCTCATTCTCCATCATCACATTCCATAGATATTTAGATCCAGTCCTAATGTACCTGTTAAGTCAACAATAGTATTCTCACAGATTCCAAAGCAAAACTTTTGAATCTGCTTTTAAGACACACACAAAAATATTTTATTACAAAAGAAATAGTTAACACGAATGCCAAATTTGCTGCATTAGCTTTAGAGACTAAACAAATGAGTCAAACAGCACACAAATGTGCTCTCATTTAAAACCCAGTCTCTGAATGGTACCAGCTAGCAGAAAATATCTGCCATTAGAGGAAAATGATGCTGCCTGTGGAGACTGGAGGTTTGTGGTGGGTACTGTAAGAATATTGACCCTGACGGCACTGACTCGAGTCAGTGGTTTGGAAACGTTTTCTACTGTCTTGCTAAATGTCAGTAATAAGTATATACTGGGGTTCTGCAGATGGTAAAGCAATTGGTACTCTTACCAGTAAATCAGAATATAAAATGATATGATAATTTAAACAGACATGCACCCACACACATATACAGTAGATGCACAAAGTGATCAGCAGCCTACTTATGCATTCAGTTTTGTATCAGGTACAGCTCTAACTGGAAAACTTTTAGATATGAGTGCATTTTATTTTTCCAGCAGACCATCAGTTTGTATTGTGATGAAAAGATGCTTGACTCTTCAATGCAGGTCACAACAAAGTAGTGATTTTAAATGGATACCAATTTTCCCAAAGCTTTGAACTATGCATTTCTATGACTTTTGCGTTCATTCGTGAGTGCAGGATAAGGATTTTCAAAACAATAAAGACTGCACTGACCTGAGCATAAATATGAATAATACATTTTCAATGAATTTGTAAATATTGTGTACATTTCCATGATGTTTCCAGGCCTGGAAATCACAATTTTATCCAAGTATCCCTATAATTTCAGGATTTCCATGTCAGTGAGAAACTCTGTTTGCAGAAGTAAGGGATCTTTCAGGGTCCTGATCAGGGTGACAGGTTTATTTTACAATAATGACCAGTTGACTTTACATTATCTAGCTTAATACATGGCTACTGACCAGTAAAGGTGGAATATTGAATTCCATTACATTATACAAAACAAGGCCTAGCAACAAGGTGAAAACTGCAACAATATTACATTAAATTATATTAAAAGAAGTCCCGTGGAGTTTCACTACAATCGTTAACTAAGACACAAGCTGGTGCCATTTACGTTTATTTGAAGAGATCACAATAAGAGATGTGTGTGATATGATACATGAAAATAGTGCTAGTTTCAGTTACCTGGATGTGTGGACTGATACAGCATTGCCATGGACAACAGTGACTATTCGGCAATATGAGACTGCTAAATGCCCTGATTTACCAGTCAGAATAAAGTATTCCACAGAGCCGTGTAATAAGTGCGAAGATAATTACATTTATTTATTAAGTAGTCACTTATTCAAAGCAACTGAAGACAAAAAACACAGGCAATCAATTAATTCTTAAAGGAAGAGCAATATATTAGCACTGTTACAATTACTATATTTCAAAATGAGACCAGCACTACTAAGTCAATATCGAAGTCTGTTTTTGCCATGGGGGGAAAATATTCTAAAAAAAGTTATTTGTGATTTGTTTATCCCACAATTCAAAATTTTCTTTTCAGAATTGTTAACTAAAAAAAAGTCAGAACTGCAAAAAAGGTCCTAATTATGAGACATAAACTTAGAATTGGCAAAAAAAAAAAAAAAAAAAAAGCCCAGTCACGATTACCTTTTTTATCCTGTGTTGAAAGCAAGCTTCCATATGCTAAAACAGAGTAATAAGTCAAAGTCTCTTTCAAGTATATCTATAGGCTATTCTTTTTATGAACACATAGAAGAAGAAAAATTGGCAAACCACAAAGCCAAGCGTTTCACAGCCATAACTCTCACACATTCATCATATGTTAGATTGCTGAGCACCCAAGGAAAACAGACTGCAGCAACATTTTCTAATCAGTAGTCAGTTTAGGGGTGGAGAGGGTTGCTTCAGTACTTTCCCTGAGGAGCTGAAATCCCTCTCCTCCCACCTCCCACTTCACTATGACATGCCGTCGATGTGGATTATCTACATCAGCCGCTCTGTCTGTGAGAATCAATCTGTACAGACAATACTGTGCAGCCTCAGTAGAAAGTGTGAGGGGAAAATATGTGTGCGGGGAAGTTATGGATCCAGGCAATGACAAATCAGATGTATCCCTACTCGAGAGGGCCTTGAGAAGTTAAGCACTTACAGGGGTCCAACAAATTCCAGTAAGACAATGATGTAAATCGTGCAGACAGCTTGAGCCTTAAAAAGTCTGCAAACCAGACGGACTCAGGCAAACTCGGTCTGACGTGTGGTCTGATCTCCCTATCAACAGTTCTCTTGCTAAAATGAACATCTGCAATCTGACATTTCTCCATCGCTGCTGAAATATCGCTATGACATTTCCAATGACATTTCCAATGACTTTTCTGTAATAAATACATCTGACTTGCTCAAAAAATATCTTGAGATGCTTAGATTAGTAGGGTTTTATATGTATAATACAGCCCCTTTAAAGAAAAAAAAAAACTGGCTGTGGTAGATGTAGAAAATTCCCCTCCATGTCAGCATCACCCCATTTTTCCATTACAAGGCACAGAAATTTCAATCTTGCACATTTGCTAACTTTTAAACTACCTTCATCAACCAAACGGTGGCGCTAATGGTCCCATTTACATTGTCCCATTAAATTTAAGACTAATTCATTCAAAGTTGCCAGATCTTTAAGTGCATGTCTTTCCCTCGCCGTCAATCATTTATGGATATATGAATATTTGCATTAACAGTTATAAGTTATCTGCATGGTAATCATCTCCTTTGCACAAAAATTCCACCAAAAAAGCTGTAAATTTTTCGCAAGGACTCATTTAAATTTTGTTAGATGAGGGGTCTTCAACCTACCCAACTGTCATTATCATTCCTAATGTACAGATATATATTTAAAGTATTCAATGCATTTTCAACTTAACGAACTCCCTAAACTTTCATGAAAAAAAAAATTAATTATAGCCCATTTTTCATGGAAACTGTGCAATCAATAACTATACTTGAGATGCTTTAAAGTGATGCCAAAGATAATGACACTTAATTTTTTCCCCCAAAGGCTAGAATGATGCAAAAAGTTTTTAAACTTGTTATAGATTATATATAAATACATTTAATATAGAGATGACACTTTTACAAATAA